TGATCAACAATCGATAATAATCGGTGGGGGTGTTGGTAATCGATTGCCAATGAATATGGTTGGCAATCGATTTCCAATGAATATGGTTGGCAATCGATTTCCAACCGTATCAGAAATTTGCTGATGATGCAAAATACACTGTGGCACAGCCTGTAACCTGTTTTTTGTGTGTGTTCAAATACAAGTTGCGAATTTCCCAATAGTATCCAGATTCAGATTTGATGGGAAGAATGAGAGTATTGGCAAGTTGACGAAATTGATCTTTAATTTCTTTTAGATCAATTGTAGACTGCAAATTGAGATGGTTTAAAGAAACAATATCAACTAATTTTGGTTCTAACTCAATTTCGAAGACTATCTTGGTGGGTTCATTGTCTTGTTCTGTTTCTTGGAAGAGTCTCGCAACAAGTTTTTGCACTTCATCTATGTCGTATAGAAGCTCTGCAGTACCAATGTTATTTTGTTCACTATCAATATTCTCTTTTACTGGAGATGATGTTTCTGGATTTCGATTTCCAAAAAAATTGGCATCTTCCAACATATTCGACTCTTTCAAGTTATTGACATCTGTACTGGGAATAAAATCATTTATTTTGGATTCAAATTTTATTTTCTTTCTGGAGATTATATCAGTTTCTTGACATTTATTTTTACGTCTCTCAGAACATTGATTGCAGGCTGCGAACTTTTGTGGAGGACGTTCACCACGAGAACGGTAAAAGTTTTCAGGTTTTTTAACATTATGGCATGTACTGCAGGTTTGATCTTGAGAGATGATGCTTGGAACTTCTGCAAAATGATTAAAATTAGCTATGTATATTTATTTTAAGCATATTGGGTGGGTGGGTACCTTGAAGCGAATTACTTTGACTCATGATTTTTGTTAATTGTCTAGATACATATGACGCGTCAAGAAACAGATTTACGCGTCAGATCTATAAGAATGAAGTTTTGTGCTGAATCATGGAGGTAGGGAGGTGGTGTAATTATGACGGCAGGTTTTTATTATGAAAAATACATTTACAAATAATAATTGATTTATTATTTTCATTTTATATATTAGTTTTTTTTCAAAGATCTTATTATAAATCGATATTAGCATTAAAGTTTTATTTTTTTTATTGTGGGATTTTTTAATCGAAAAATGATGTTAGATTTTAATTTTTTATTATAGATCAATATTATTATGAAAGATAAGTATTATTTTTATTTTTTTATTATGGTAATACTTATACTAGAAAAAAATATTGTTTAGCTGATTTTTTCATTATTATAATCTAATGATTGATATTATTAAGATGATGGATAAAATTCTTTCTAAGAAACAGATCTTGATATTATTAAAGTGATGGATGAAATTCTTTCTAAGAAACAGATATTGATATTATTAAGACGATGGATGAAAATTCTTTCTAAGAAACAGATATTGATATTATTAAGGCGAGCTGTTAGATTTTAATTTTTTATTATAGATGGGTATTTTATTTTTATATGTAAGATCTTTTTATGTGTTAGTTTTTTTTAAGGAGAAGAGTTTTTTTAATAAAGATCGATATTATTAAGAAGCCTTATCAAGTCAAAGCCCAAATATATGAGGGTTCGCCATTCATCAGACAAAGGGGGGGACAATGTGAACATAAACCCATGCTGAACGAACCGTTGACAAATCTGTGGAGGAATGGTGCTGAATAAATCGCTCGCTAGTCCTAGTCGCCTAATTGTTCCGGTTAGCAAAACTAACCAACTACTACCAAGTCCAAAAAGAAAAATGCTGAAAACTGAACGATTAATGAAATCATCACTCACAAGTTTGATCAGAACTCAGCAAATTAGCCAAACTTGCGTGATGATGAAATAACTAAATAAAAAAAGTTAATAAAATACCAATACACAATGCAACAAAAAATAAAATCTTATCGCCAAGATTTTTAGCAAAACAAACACAATGCGACAAAAAATAAAATCTTACCGCCAAGATTAATGAAACCCTCTTTTTAGCAAAACAAAGCCGTAACATCGTCCCGTTATTTCGCTCGTATACCCGAAGTACAGAGATCAGTGCATATTTTGTATCGTTCTGCTAAGCTGGCACTTTACCGTTGTTATGGAATGTCTAGCTGCGTGATCAATACTTCACATCAACTACGAGCAGCACCCAGTAAGACGCGCCATAACATTAAAAATAAATTCCCTTCCTTAAGCGAATTCAAAGGCCAAACAGAACGCATAGCTCTAAATGGAAACCTGCCGAACAAACCGTTGGTAAAACTCGTCCGGCCCAAACTTAGAGTCGACCAAAATTTTAACGAGAGAAGAGGCGGAAGTTAATCGGGACGCAATCAGTCTTATGGCAGGCCTGGGCGCTCGCGGCCCCTGACAAAGTCTGACTAATGCCGCCAGATCTCTAGAAAGAATAATGGCCCGAATAGTGACTTCTATTTGGATCCATGAACGATGAAGAAAGCAAATAGCAACGAAATTTCGAGAATCAAAAAGGGAAGAAGCCAAGAGAGTAAAGAATCAAAAATATTAAATTTAATAAATGGCAGTGTTGTAAAGCTCTGGCCCATAATTGCGAATTTGCTTTTGAACTACAAGTACACATAGTACACATGTCAAATTGTTTATTTGGTGGTACGGAGATTTGTTAATCGACTTAGTATTACTCGATTACGGAGACTGGTCGGAAAGGTCGGTTCGCACAGAGTCACGTGCACCGCACTTTTTTTTTTGCCATGGCTAGGGTACTAAAAAATATTGTATTGCTTTTGGAAATGAACGGGACCAACACATTGCAGCTGCTTTATTCACTTATAGAACACTCAGAAATTCAACAACAAAACATGAATCTTTTTTTCTTACTTATGGAAGAGATGCACTAGAAAAGATACAATTAGTTGAAAATTTAACTAAAAACCAAATATTACAATATAATTTTCAACCTGGAAGATATTTTACTATAAACTACATCCTAACGCGACTACTGACGAGTGCTACGATGCCTTGAAAAAAGACCTTGACATACTTCTTCCTATTTTTGATGGGAAAAGTAACACAGGTTTAAAATTGGCAAGTTTTAGGGCTAAATTACAACAGGTCAGTTTCCCAAGCAACTGGGTAGAATGAGAACTGGAAGCGCTCTGTGGCCACAGCTTGCGAAAGCTTCTAGTCAGGTAACCAGGCCTGACGTATAGAGGGCAGCCTGCTGTGAACGTTCTTCTTTATTTACCGAGCTTTGTGTTGGGAGTTGAGTATACTCTATCGGTAATCAAGCAGCAGAACCCAAGTAGGATGACTTTTGCCGGTGAAGGAGCCTGCTTGGTTGAGGTGGGATGCATCCACAGCCTTCAGGTTGTCGTGTGTGTCATTCGTCGCTGGCGAGCCACCTTTTGTCATTGATTACTATGCTAGTCGATCGCTATATATGTTCACCTGATTTAGTAATTATACTAACTTCCTTTCTATCCCATCTT